ACACGCCTAGCACGAATGACCTCATCAGCATACATGCGCATGCTTTTCGCGAAATCCCACGTCCTCTCCCTGATTCCGCGGTGCGTTTATTGCATCGACAAGCGGTTGGAAGTCTGCATTGTTTTCGGACGGCAGATCTCGCGCGGACGGCAATGGGCGGTCCCGCGGAGATGACCGCCACGCGTTTTGGTTTTGTTGTCTTCATAGGTTTGCGTGCCGCGGCTTGAACCCTACCAGTCGGACGACACGAGAGGGGGGGCGAGGGCGGGCGACGGCGCGCGCGTCTAGGCTCGACCGCGCGCACAGCACGACCCCGCCCGCGATGGTGACTGGCTTGACGATACAAAGCGAAGTCCTAGGACAGCTCAAGGCTGACCTGGTCTTGGATCACCCACCGACTGTCATTTCCAGCAGCGCCACATGACTTCAGGATGCCCCTGAACGCATCGCGCCCCAGATCATGCGTCACCCGTTTTCCATTGAGATTTTAGAAGATGCGATTCTGGTTGTTCTTGGAGGTGACCCGCGGTCCGTCTTACCGAAGCCAAGGGGCTGATGTTCGAAGTTTTTGAAGTGGCGAAGCGGCTCGTTCCCCGGCAGCAATCTGACTCCACCGAACTCGGGCACTGGAGGGCCCTTCAGACCCTTCGGGCCTGGAAGGTGGGGGGGCGCCTTTGAGCTCGACAAGGCGATGTCCGCCGACCCGATCCTCGCCCAGAATTTCCCCGACGTCCTTCATGACGCTCAGATTGCCGCCCTCTGCCGACATGCCCAGAGCCTGCACGACACCCCCCCTGGCGGTTGCGGAGGGGCTGAGATTGTAAAAGCCCGCGGCAGTGACTCTCCTGAGGCTTAGGAGAAAGCGAGGCGGAACCTGGCGGCGTGGAAGGAATTTGCTCGTAAAATGAAGCGCCGGGGCCTTCTCGGCCTCTGTGGAACCAGGCAACACAGAGGCAGAGGAGGAGGCGGCACAGGCCCTAGTGTACCACTGAAGTTCAGTGTTCGCTGCTACGGATGGCGACGAGACCCTAGCTCTTGCCTTCCGTGCGACAGGTGGCCGATGTTGCCGACGAGCTATATGGACATAATGTCATGGAGAATGGTTAGACGATGGCGGCCGGGGAGATGGGTCACGACGATCAAGAGGAGGGTGGATAGCACGCCTGGGAAAGATGGGGCCCAGCATTGCGCATGGGGAGCCCGTGCCGCCAGGTTCCTACTCTCCGATTGCGACCGCGCTTTTCTGAAGACCCGCATGCCGGCATCCACGAAGACATGTGGCTTTGCGCCACGGTCATCCCCCCCAAGGAGATAGCGGATAACGAAGTGGGGCAAAGGGGTACCTCGAGCACCCGCGATTACCAGACCCCTTAGCATGACGAGTACGGATGCCAAGCTGTTCTCAGCCTCGACGGCCATGACCTCGACGAAGGAGGTTGCCACGCACGGGCTCCTTCGGCCTCCTCAGAAGTGGTTTCGCGGGCGCGACATGCTCGCCAAAGTCATCGCAGCGGGGGGCTTCCTTTTAAACCAGCACCCTAGAGATAGATACACGAGCGGCCTCGTTCTGACTGATGTCGAGTCCGCCTTCCTTTTTATCGAGGTTCAATGGGTTCTCAAAACTTTGGCCCCCATGGGGCTTCCCAAAGCTATCGTCGAGTCCTACGGGGCCCTGCATGAGAACAGCACTGCGACAGTATACATATTCGGGCGGCCGTTCGGGCCCTTCACCGTTGGGCACGGCATTCGACAGGGGCGCCCCATTCTCCATGCTCCGATTATCGTAGCAGTGGAGCCCGTGATTGCCTGGCTTCAGGCGCGGCTTCCTGAGCATGTCTCGCGGACGCTGGCCTATGCAGATGACTTCTGTTTTGGGCTCAGGTGCCAATTCGACGGGGTTGAGCCCCTCTTTCAGTTTCTAAGTCAGTTGGACAAAAATAGTGGGCTCTCGCTCAATGTCCCGAAATGCCAGGTTATCTTGGTTTATGATCGTCTCCGCGGTCCCCTGGCTCAACTTATTCTGGAGGGCGGGCCCTTGAGTGGCTTGGTAATTGTCACTAGCTCGACGTATCTCGGGGCCTGGATCGGCAGGGGCGCGGAGGAGGAGGCCTTTGGAGGGGATTCCACAAAGCTGGGGAAGAGGGCGAGGGGCTTCAGGGATCGGGGGCTTGGGCTGGCGCAGTCGATCGCGCTGCTCAAGACGTCACATGTCTCGCTGCTGTATTTCGCGCTCAGACTTCACAGTCCTCCTGCTTACGCGATCACAAGAGCACCAGTCGTGCGTGCGACTTCTCTCTGCAGGTCCGAATAATGCCCTCTCATATGACAAACGTACCAACCTCAAGATGTTCCGTCTCTGGATTGAGTTCCCTCAATTCTCACTCGTTGCACACGCCACCCGTGCCAGATACATTGTAGGGTATGATGACCTGTCGAGACTCCGGGCTGTGCTCAGCTTGGCGTTTGAAGGTGACGATTGGTGCCTTTCGCGCAAAGTCTCGGGGTAGTATGTCTCAATTTGATTTGCCCACCTTTGTCAGTACCAGACATGCTTGGGGCGTGCCATTTCGATGTCAGCTTTGAAAGATCAGATGCGCAGAAACAACATACGTGTGTTCCGAATGTGGTCCTTTCCGCGTCTGATCCCCCATGGGCTGCTCTACTCCGTCGCGCCCGCAATTGAATTCCTGGGGTCGAGCTCCTGGCTCTTGGGCGGGTCTTCGCCCGTGTAAAAGAGGTCGCGCGGAGGTCCAGCGTGTATATTCCGTTGGCCGTTATCCGAATGTTTGCCAGATGTGTCTGTGCAAGCTCCAGGTTCCACGCACTCTCCCGCGTATGCATCCTTGGCTGCGCATCCCCTGTGCCCCCAATGGTGGATTTCGATGACATGAATCACCATCTTGTCTGTCCCAGGCTTTATCAGTTGTTCAATTCCTGGATGGGTCTTTGGGCTCCGTGGTCGCCCAGGACTCCTGAAGGCTTGCCTTGGCTGCATCATTTCCATTGTTTCACGGGGTGGGCCCTGACCGGTATCTTCTAAGCTGCATGTTATGCGATGTTTTCTTAAGTATGTACAATTCAGTCAAACTTTCTCTTGCTGGCACTCCACGGCAGCAGTTTGAAGCACGTCTCCGCACAGCCGCCAGGAGACACCGAGCTTGCCGAAATGTCTGGGCCAGGCTCACACGCGAAACATACAGTCGCGGGGATGGGGGTCCTCGAAAAATGCCACCCGAGCTTGTGCGCCTTCTCCGTGGCCGTGCCGACAAACTTGGGTCTGGCGCCGACTTCTTGGGCACAAAGTAGCACAGCGCAGTTCTCTCGGAGGCGTACCTTGAGAGACTCCAGCACGAGCCGCTGAAATTTTCAATGAAATATTGATCGCCTGCCTCTGATCTAGCGGGCTTCCCTTTCAAAGAGGGCATTGGAGCACTTGTTCTAGACTGCGGTATCCCACAACACTTGGGAGCTGAACCGCCGAACAGGGTGTCACCCATGCTTTCGCTTCTGGGTCCCAATGCCCAAAGATTTAACAAGGTCCTGGAGCTGCCGTTCGTTATCTTGTCCGCCACCCGTGGCAACCACGAGGAGCTGTTCGACCCCTTCTTCAGGATGCTCATCCATCTCCTCATCCTCTGGAATTGGTGTTCTTTCCCGTGCTGGTAGCGTGGGGCCCGCACTGGAGCCCTAGGAGACAGGGGGTTGTGTAGATGTGCGCCCTTGCCTGCTGTTCGGCCAGAAGCTTTTGGTAATGACCGCAGACAGGCATGGCCTTGAGCGCCTAGATCTCGGGCATCGACTCCGCCACCGCCGCGTCCAGCACAATGCTGGGCACTGCCGGCGGAACCACCTCGGCCATCGTGGTGCGCATCTCCAGTTTGGTGGCGTCGGTATCCACCTGAGCCAGACAAGCCTTCTCTTGCATGCTGGCCAGCTCCTTCTGCGCATCTTGGACGAGACACTCTTGGACCTTGATGTCAAGCTTCTGGGTGGACCGCGCCAATTTGTTCCCCAGCGACGTGTGGCGAGACAGGCACGGCTTGGTACTGTTGAGTTCTCTCCTGGCGTCCTGGGGCTCCTTCTCGACTGAGTCCTCGATCGCCTGGGGAAAGTAGTCATGTCGCATTCCGCTGTGAGCGCTCTTCCTTCGTCATCGGCAGCACCGTCACCACCCTCTTCCCCATCTGGCGGCGAAGGTTTTGAAGCATTCCCGCCCATCTGCTTGGCGAATCGTTGCGCTTGCTCCTGGAGGTGGGCCAGCTGGCGAGCAACAGGGCTGGACATATCAGCAGGGGGGCCACGACCCCAGACCTCTGACAGGCTGCGCTGCCGACGACCTTCTGGCTCGCGCACCTCCCCGGCACGCTGCTTGGCCTTGTCGACGACTGAAGGCGGCGCCTCCTTCCCGGAATGGTACCTTTCATAGGCTTCGTGGGGTGGGTGCTCATCGAGGGGTTCTTGGAGCCATGGTTGAAGCCTCTTGGGGGCGCGTTGCGGGTCTCAGGAGGCGTTGGGGGGCCCGCTGAGGAGCGGTTGGAGGTCCAGGAGAGGCACCATGGCCGCCCAGAACAGTGCAGAGGCCGTCGTGGGACTTGTTAGACGCATGCTGGCATGTTGAAAAAGCACTGCACTCCATCCTTGGTGTGCGATGCCAAGCTTAAAACGAATGTGCGCGACCCTAGGGCGAGAGCCCCACTGTTAAAAGGCACCCGTCTCCATCTCTGCAATTGTTTAGAATTTCACGCTTCAGGATCATGGTGGGGCAGTCTCAGGCGAAACGGCCGAGCCGCTCTACTGACACGTCTGGGAGTCTGGGGGTGCGACTGGGACAAGTTGCCGATAGAGAAATTAATGGAGGGGGAGAACGACGACGAAGAGGAGGCGAAAGGGTAAGGGGACGAGGGACAGGGGAAAGGGGACAGAACAGGGAGGCTGCACGACTTGTGCCTCCAGAGGCATTCCCCTGGAAGTCGCCATCCAGGCATCCCCCGCCCATCCGTAGACGTTTGGGCTCGGGGTCAAGCGGCCTCGGGTGGGGTGTGGGGGCGGGACCAGCGCATGGCTCCGTTGGGCGAGTGCCCGCCAGGTGGCTGCTGGCCAGACTTCGATCCCAGATGGAGACCGCCAGTGGCCACGGGCCCGTCGGTGTCATGTCAATGCAGGTCGCCATGGATGCAGGGAGCCAATCCCCAATGAGCTGTCAGTACCAGGGACGCTGGCGCTCTCGTCAGCAGGCGCACGAGCATGCCCGCCGCGTGGTCGCAGCATCGCGAATAGTGATGACGGCGCGGCCACTCCCAGGGAGCAAGAAGCTTTCTGCGCGGGTACCGTACAGTTGCACGCTAAAGCCGCAGATGGGCACCGACGCGTGCAGTACCCAGGCTGCGCTCACCCCCCGCTCGGCGCTGGGCCACCTCCTGCGCCACCGCGCTTCGCGAGAGGAGGCCCACGACGACCTCTGCGCCTCCCCGCTCTGCGTGCGGATCGTGCCGCGGCCCTCGGAGAGCGCTGCGCTCAGCCCCAGCTCGGCGGAGTGTGCGCCGCCCTCGGCCGAGCCGGGCACGCCGCCGCGGCTGCCGCGGGCGGCAGCGCCGCCGCCGCAGTGGCGGAGGCTGCTCCCCGAGGGTGCACCCAGGCCGGCGGCCGAGGCCGAGTGCGGCGGCCCGGCGGGCGTGCTGCCGCGCGCCCCGAGCGCCCCGCGCGGCCGCGGCGCCGCCCCGGCGAGGAGGTCCACCATCGAGCAGGAGTCCTCCTCCTCCTCCTCCTCCTCCTCCTCCTCCTCCTCCTCCTCCCCTCCTCCTCCTCCCCCTCCTCCTCCTCCTCCTCCTCCTCCCTCTCCTCCTCCTCCTCCTCGTCCTCCTCGTAGGAGCAGCCCGCGGGCGTGGAGTCCATCTGCCTCGAGGGCTCGAGGGCGACCTGCACCCTGCTGCCCCGGGCCGGCAGCGACGGCGCGGGCGAGAGGCAGAGGTCGCCGCCCCAGACGACGCCTCCCGGGCCCAGGAGGAGCTCGCGCGGAGCAGCCGCGCCGGCCTCCGCGCGGCCTCCGCCGGCGGCACTGGCCAAGGTCGAGAAGCCCTCCGCCAGGGCGCTGCCGCACACAGACAAGATGGTGAGGGCTGGTAGGTTCAGGAGCAGCGCGAGGGCAACCAAAGAGGAGGACAGGCGCTTAGTGCTCCCGTTCTCTTACTGTGACGAGGATCCCAGAGTCGCGCACTTGGAGGCCATCGCAGGGCTTGAGCTCCCGCAGTTCCGGGCCTCAAGTGCAGCGTGATTGCGAGGTTCCCAGGGCCTAGGATATGTCGGAGAGGAGGTGGGAAGAGAAGGCTGAGGAAGATCAGACCAGGAGCAGAAAGCAGCAGTGCAGTATTGGGAAGATCGCTCATCTCGCGAGCCCTCCGCAGGCTCGCCGCCGTCTCTGACGGCGTACCGGGTGTCCGGTAACAAAGTGCTCACACCTAGGATATGTCGGGCACTTTCTTGCCGACTGGGCATGTCTTTTTGCGTTGCACGTGGGCGCTGGCGCCGAAGTGTCTCACCACCCACCAAACCACCCCAACCCAACTCGAAGGCCTCAATTTGCCCTCCATTTCCAGTTGGGGGGGGTGAGGGAACATCGAAAAAACACATGTGGAACCCTTACCCCCCCCAACCCGAAATTCGGGTCTTCGGGTTGGGTTGGGGTGGTCTGGTAGGTAGTCAGTGTCGTTCGATCGAAGTCAAGCTGATGCGTCGCGGTCGGCGTTTCGGGGGAACGCGCTTGCTTCGGCCAGGTCTGGGGTCCCCGAGGGGCCCCAAAAAACCCTCGAGTTGTTCCCGCGCTCGCCTCTGCGAACAGCGCCGAGGTTGAGGATTTAGGCCCGCGCACCCCTGACCCTTGGACTGAAATCCAGTCGCCACGGCTTTGCAGATTCAAATGCGTCGTCCCCCGCCCCGTTTGGGAGCGTGGGTGCTACCTCGTTTCGCGCTGCATGTTTTCATGTACGTCCCACTGCGTTCGAAGTGCGCCCGGTCACCTCGATGAAGTCGAGACCCTTTTTAAGGCGCCTTGAGATGTTGTTGCTCGATCAGAGTGCGTATTTAAGGCACCGCGTTGCCTTCATTCTTGCTAGATCAGGTGCGTGTCCTCTCCGTAGCTTGACGCGCAATCGCTTGCATCTGGCCGCATGCGGCCCCCCAACTCTCCTCTGCAAGACCTCGCTTCTCCTCAGCCAGTGCTTGCGATCAGAGGCTCGTGTTCTCTCTACCAGGTGGCTGACTGGCGTTCCCAAGGCTCAGCCTGGTCGCCGCCCCGCCGCCGCCGCGCCGCTGCCACAAATGCGGTGCAGCCTGCACGGTGGAAGCGCTGTGGTGCAAACCGTGCGGTGGCGCCGACGAGAGCAGCGCCGAGCCGCCGCCGCTGCGCTCGATCGCGCGCGCGCGCCGCGGGGCTCTGATTCGCAAGAAGCGGTGGGAGCAGGCAGAGAGGCAGGGAGGCGGCCACGGGCGGCCGCACCAGGCACCGCCGCCCGGCGCACGAGGCGGCGCCGAGGCGGCCAGGGACGGCCACGGGCGACGGCCCGGCGAGGCCCCAGAGGCGCCAGCCGCGGCACACGAGGTGGCGGCGCGACGCCCAGCGCACGAGGCGGCGACGGGGCGAGGCCCCGGAAGCGCCAGCCAGAGCACGAGGTGGCCACAGCTCGCTCCACATGGCTTCCACCACATGGCCCCCACCGCGCAGAGGGCTCCCACCATGTCGATTGCACCACAGGTGCTCCTACTGCACAGCGTGCACCACACTGCATCACACTGTCTGCACAGGCTCACTGCTTGGGGTCCGCGCTGGCAAACATGTTCCAGAATTTGCAGATCGAGCTGCTTCGTGATGTGGCCTGCTCCGCTCAGACCGTGCGCGCGAGGTCTCGCGAGCGCGCTCCCGGGGCCATATCCCCGCAGGCGAGAGCGGCGCGCGCACGTCCCAATGCAGCCTCTCCAGGCTCTCAGACGGCGATTCGGAACATCATGATGATGAGGGCATCAGTCGGCGGCACGCCCAGGGAATCAGGCAAAGGGGGCGGGCCTTCTCTCTCGGAAGGCTCAGAACGTCTCCAGCCATCTGAGAAGTTTTCTGAGCCTTCTCCACCGACAGAGGCGGCTTCTCATAAGGCCCCGAGAAGGCTTTCCCCCTCTCAGTTCCCCCCTGGTCGCGCCGACGAGACGATGAGGTCATGAGGGGTAGGAGGGACTCGTCGTCGTCCCCTTGCTCGCGGGCGCTGCGGCTGTTGCAGCACAACTCGGCAGAGCGGTCCTCTTAGCCTCCCCTTCCCCCTCTACCTCCCCCCTCTCCTCGTCCTCTGTCTCACCTCCCCTTCTTCCTCCTCCTCCTCGTCCTCGTCCTCCTCCTCCTCCTCCTCCTCCTCCTCCTCCTCCTCCTCCTCCTCCTCCCTCTCCTAACAGTACCTGTCGTAGTTCGTCCGCCTTGCTTGAGAGGCTTTAGTAGGGGGAGGGGGTGGGCGTCGTCCGATGGTCGGGATCGGGTGTGGGGGGGTCAGGGAAGGAGGGAAGACTCGTCCCTCTCCTATTCCTCCTCCTCCTCCTCCTCCCTCCTCCCCTCCTCCTCCCCTCCTCCTCCTCCTCCTCCTCCTCCTCCTCCTCCTCCTCCTCCTCCTCCTCCTCCTCCTCCGTGCCTGAGAGCCCACCCAGCAGGGCTGCGGGGCCCGAGTGCTGGTGTGAGGCCGGGGCCAGTGCTGCTCGGCAGAGAGCGGTGCCGGGGCTGATCGTCGGGTATTGGCATACAGTGCGACTCAGAATCCCTGCGAATGCTCGGCAGCGGTGCTTGCGAAGTCAGGCCCGGTTGGCTGAGAGACCAGTTGGATTCCCAGAGTTCTAGTCCAGTCTAGTCCTCCTCCTCCTCCTCCGCCGGTCGCTCTTGCATTGACGTACCGCTCGCCACCACTGACGTTGTGGGGTTGCTTGAAAGCGAGCCGAAGCGAAGGTCCTCCTCTTCCTCCTCCTCCTCCTCCTCCGCCCTCCTCGCCTTCCCCCTTCTCCTGCTACTCGTTTTCCCGCTCCTAAAGAACCCCTCGTTCATCATCCTCCTTCCTCCTTTTCCTCCTCTATCCTCCATCTCGCTTCACCTTCCTCTCCCTGCCCCTCCCTCATACCATCAGCATCACAATCATCATCATAAGCATCAGCATCATCACCATCATCATCAGACTCAGCGCCGTCATCGGGATTGTCCTCGCCACCATCAGCAGCAGCAGCAGCAGCATCATCCTCATCTGCAGCAGAAGCAACAGACCCATCCGCGTGCGCATGTGATGAACAGTATCGTCATCTGCATCCTCTTCATCAGCAGCATCATCGCCATCATCATGACCAGTATCATGTTCATCATCGCCGTCATAATTTCGCGATGGCCTTCGTCTTAGTCATCATTGCCCCTGTAGTCGTTAGTTATCGCTCCCTATCCCCCCATCATCTCTCATCCTCCTCGCCCCTTCCTCCCTCCTCCCTCTCCCTGCTTTCTTCCCCTCAAGCTGCCCCGTCGTTCCTCATCGTCCTCCCCCTGTCGCCGTCTGCATCGGAGTTCGGATCTAACGTTGCCTCCCCCCCCCTAGGGACGGTCGCCCCTTGGAGGGGGGGGCGGTCAAACTAGTGTTGTAGAAGCAGGTTGAAAAAAAGGACCGCGACCACCGTGGGACCCCCCCTGACCCGCGGGCCCCCCCGACCACCGTGGGCCCCCGCTGCCGTTTGCAAGGGGGAGCTTTCCTGCCTCGGCCTTGGCCTTTGCTCTCTCCCCTCGTCCTCTTTGTCCGGCGCCCTCTTGGGCGGAGACGGCACAGCCAGGAGGAGGAGGGGGAGGAGGAGCCCCCAGGGGGGCCGAGTAGCGAGGTCCCCCACCACCAGGAGGGGGGGCAGCCGCTGCAGGGAGGAGGCCGTCCCTCTCGTTGCTCCTTCGCCTGCCAGCTCTGGGGCGCAGTGGCAGGCACATGGAGCCTAGATGGTTCCTGCGGGGTCTCTCGCTCTCTCTCTCTCTCTCTCTCCCACTCTCTCTCTCTCTCTCTCTCTCTCGTTCCCCTTATACGCGTATGCATTTGCAAATATACATATGTGTATGCAAGATTGTGTGGGGCTCGCTGCGCTACGCTTTCTAATGTTGCTCCCTGCACCGACATGTCTTATTGAATTTGCGGTCAGCATGTTGATGTAGCCGCAGTGTTGCTACGACCCATTCCCGAACCTGCGGTGGGGGGGTTAACCTGGCGCGGCCCCGATTGGCAACAGACCCGACGCGTTCCGTCCAAACCGAACGCCAGGTTCAGCACTCGCCCAGCACGAAGGGACGGCAGGCGCCGGAGATGGCGCTCGCAAAAGACAGATGTAGCCGAGGCTCAAACGAGAGTACCAGTCTCACACGCGGATGCGGCCAGCGCTGGAGCGGTAGCACAAATCTTGGAAGTGGATGTGGCTGGCGCTTGGGCGAAGCACCGTTTTCCGATGAGGGCTGTGGGAACCGTACGAGTGGAGCGGCATCACAATACGTACTCCAGATTTCGTAATAAAAGGGAGGGGGTCTGGACCCTCCAAGACAAGACATTTCAGACCCCCCCCGTGGGAGAGCCCTCCAAAACATCGTCCCCAGACCCCCCCAGGCCCTCCAAGATAGCCTGGAAGAGACCCCCCCCGAAATGAGACCCCCCTCCCTTTATTACGAAATCTGGAGCAGTCGAGAAGGGGCGTGGCCGGCGCTGAGAAGTGAGTGCCGCGTCCCATGAAGGATTTGCCCAGCGCGCAGACGGCAGCATGACTCCCAGACATCAAGGGCAGAAAAAACGCCCCTACCCTGGTTTACGAGGCGCTGTGCGCTGAAACTCCTGTGGGCTGACAGGGCAAACCCTGCGTGATGTACCGCGTCCTGGCGACTCTAGGCTTTGGGGGTTCCCAGGAGGTTTACAGACCGCGCACTTGTAACCCAGGGTAGGGTCGTTTTTTCATCCCTCAAAGACAAGGGTGTGACCAGCGCTCGGGCGAGAGCGCCAATCCCATCCAAGAATAGGGCTTTGTGCGCGACCGGCAGCATCATCTGCAACGAGGGCTGTCGGCCAGCTCTGAGGCGACAGTACCGCTTGTATTGGAGAGTGTGGTCAGTGCTGGGGTGGTTGCGCTAATCTTGGATCAGGATGCGGTCACGGATGGGCGAGAACACCATTGCCGAAGTATTGCAAACCGCGCGAGCGAAGCGAACGAGGAGGTGAAGGAGAAGGAGGAGAAGGAGGAGGAGAAGGAGGAAGGGGAGGAGGTGGAGGAGGAGGAGGAGGAGGAGAAGAA